GAGACGAGGGGTGGGGGGGTGGGGGGGGGGGGGGGAGGGGAGCTGGCTTTTAAGAGGCTATCAGTGGGGTAGTAGCACAGTGAGGGGCGGGCAGTGGGGGCAGGGGAGGTTCCTATTAAGTAGCTTCTGACCACAAGGAGCTAGGACCTCCTTCTCACCCTGTGGACAGGGCCTGCTGCCATCCCATGCTGTTGCCTTTGTATCAGAGGCAGCAGTGTGGGGTGGCAAGCAGAGTTGGTCTGCGCGGGGAGCCGGTTTTTAAATACTTACTCATGAAGGGAGATGTTCTGAATGTCTCCCCTCAGGACACAAGTTGATGGGAGTTGTTCATATTCAGTTAGGGGGGCTAATTAGGAGTAGTATGTGTGGAGGTTGGGAATAGAGAATGAAGTTTATAACAGAGATGTAAGTAACTAATTGAGCAGCAGGAGGCAGGGCTGGGAAGAGCTGACTTTCTCTCCCCAGCACCATCTTCACAGAGAGGCAGGGGAGGGAGAGGCTGTGCCTCTGCTTTTTAAATGTAGTAAGAGCCACACAGAACCCGCTGTAGCTGAAATTCCATCAACTACTTGATTAGCTAATTAAATGCAATTTAACATCCTTAGTTCATAATCAAGTCCAAAGAGTTTATTCTGCAGGCAGACTTCAACTGTCATATCAGGAAGTGTGAACATCACAGAAACTTGGTGGGACAATACACGATTGACATGTTTGTACAGAAGGGTACAGCTTGCTCAGGAAGGGTAGACAGGGGAAAAGGGAGGAGGTGCTGCCTTATATATTAAAAATGAACACAAGTGGAATGAGGTGGAGATGGACATAGGAGCCGGAAGTGTTGAGAGTCTCTGGGTTAGGCTAAAAGGGATTAAAAAGAAGGGTAATGTCATGCTAGGAGTCCACTATAGGCCACCTACCCAGGTGGAAGAAGTGGATGAGGCTTTTTATAAACAACTAAAATACCATCCAAAGCCCAAGATTTGGTGATGATGGGGGACTTCAACTATCCAGATATATGTTGGGAAAATAACACAGTGGGGCACAGAATATCCAATAAGTTCTTGGACTGCATTGGAGACAACTTTTTATTTCAGAAGGTTGAAAAAGCTACCTGGGGGAAGCTGTTCTAGATTTGATCCTAACAAATAGGGAGGAACTGGTTGAGAATTTGAAAGTGGAAGGCAGCTTTGGTGAAAGTGATCAAGAAATAATAGAGTTCACAATTCTAAGGAAGAGTAGAAGGGAGAACAGTAGAATAGAGACAATGGTTTTCAGGAAGGCAGATTTCGGTAAGCTCAAAGAGCTGATAGGTAAGGTTCCATGGGAATCAAGACTGAGGGGGAAAACAGCTGAGGAGAGTTGGCAGTTTTTCAAAGGGATATTATTAAGGGCCCAAAAGCAAGCTATTCCGCTGTGTCGGAAAAATAGAAAATATGGCAAAAGACCGCGTTGGCTTAGCCACAATACCTTGCATGATCTAAAAATTAAAAAGGAGTCCTATAAAAAATGGAAACTAGGACAAATTACAAAGGAAGAATATAGGCAAACAATACAGGAATGCAGGGGCAAGATTAGAAAGGGAAAGGCACAAAATGAGCCCAAACTAGCTACAGGAATAAAGGGAAACAAGAAGATTTTTTATAAATACATTAGAAGCAAGAGGAAGACCAAGGACAGGGTAGGCCCACTGCTCAGTGAGGAGGGAGAAACAGTAACAGGAAACTTGGAAATGGCAGAGATGCTTAATGACTTTTGTTTCAATCTTCACCGAGAATTCTGATGGAATGCCTAACATAGGGAATGCTAGTGGGAAGGGGGTAGGTTTAGAAGATAAAATAAAAAAGAACAAATTAAAAATCACCTAGAAAAGTTAGATGCTTGCAAGTCACCAGGGCCTGACAAAATGCATCCTAGAATACTCAAGGAGTTGATAGAGGAGGTATATGAGTCTCTAGTTAGCATCTTTGGAAAATCATGGGAGACAGGAGAGATTCCAGAAGACTGGAAATGGACAAATATAGTGCCCATTGATAAAAAGGGAAATAAGAACATCCCAGGAAACTACAGACCAGTTAGTTTAACTTCTGTGCCAGGGAAGATAATAGAGCAGGTAATTAAGGAAATCATCTGTAAACACTTGGAAGGTGGCAAGGTGATAGGGAACAGCCAGAATGGATTTGTAA